AACCAAGTGCTCCGTCTTGACCACATCGACAAGCTCAAACAACTTGATGGTGTCAATCAACATAAGTGAGTGTGCTTGTTTACCATCTACATCTGTCATATTCTACAATGACCACATCAACTGAGGTAGAAAATTCCTAAAAAGTGGGATCTGGCTTGTCGACATTAACAACATCTTCTGCAAGAGGACCTTCATTTTTGTCCACAACGTTGGACCTCCCGTCATCTTTATTTATTGCTTCAGGTCCAATGTCTACTTCATCTCCAACTTGTGAGTCAACGCTTGATTCCTCCTTGGATGCGTGGTCCTGTGCTTCAGCGTTTTGCTCAATTACTGTAGAGACTACATTTGGCGCATATGGCGGAGTGTCAATGAGAATTTTTATAGCGCCCAACATGTTTGTTCTAAAGTTTGGTAACTCCCAAGGAATCAAACTCGGCAAAATTGGGGGACCACGAACCAAATCTTGTATGGAGCAAGAGATTTCGACATCAAACGCGTACAAGTCGGAGTCATAATTTGGCTGACCAGTAGTATGACGAAACGACCGGAGCGTCTTTATAAGTTCATCCACATGATCGTAAACTCCACACACTCCGTCGTCTAGATCAACTTCTCCATATAAAACATTTTCCAACAAATAAATAAGTTTATTCAATGCACAAGTACTCACAATTAAAGTCTCTAACCGAGCGAATCGCGCCTCCAATCGGAATGAAAAATGTTGCTGCATTTGATAACAAGGAGTACTCCGTAAGGAATAATTTGATGTAGTGGCTTGCAGACCTCTCCAATTGATCAAACCCCACCAATATAGAAATATGCAGCGACCCCGGCCAAAACTTCAAGGCACCATTTTTTTTTTTTGACTCTTTGCCTTTTGATCAAGGAATGCCTTTTTCTTTCTTTTGATATTGTTGGCCCCCTCTTAATAAAATTGATCCAAATTCGTGTGGAATATTCTTAATAAGATTGATCCCCACTAATGGAGCGTATGAACTGCCCAATTGGTGAAATTTGTTCTGTATCCGGGACAGCTATCAATTTGTTCTTCGCTTGTTGAGAGCGATTCAATAAAGCAGCGACCGATTGGGATTTTTTTATATTTTGAAACTGCTCTGCTTTCTGTGGCTTATATCTGTGGCGGCGGTACAACTTGAACTGAATTTTGAAGGTGGAATTTGAGTGACGACGCAGGCTTTTTCTTTTTGGGTTTTTTTGTGTTCCTCTCAGTGAGAGCACCAATTGATACGAATATCGTATCGGATAGAGAAGAACTTCGAGCGTCTTCGGGCTCCGAGAAAGTGGAGGCAAAGAGAGAAGGAAATCTTCGAGCGTTTTCGGGCTCCAAGAACAGAGAGACGAGAGATTAAGAGAATTCTTGATTATTGATTGATTGAATAATAATAACGAACGATTACAATATATAAAGACGCAGAAAAACCTAATTGACCTAATGGGCTCGGGCCCATACTAAAACCCTAAATCATCAATAAATAATAATAATAAATAACTACTAAATAATAATATAACTAATTAATATATTTTAATTAACTATCCGTATCAAAGACTTAATGTTAAATTTTCGATTCTTAACCAGTTTTTGTCAGATATTTGTCACGGATTTTTTATTCCAAACAAATTGAAAATTATTTGATTTTTTGGATTCCAATTTGCGAGGTGAGTGTACTAGTGTAGGATTTGTAATTAGACTTTTGTTGAGGAATTAGAAAATTTTAAATCAAATCCAAATATTCTTTTTTCTAATTTCCAATATGTAATTTTAAATCAAATCTAATAATGAGTCTTCTCTCACTTATTTTGGGGTTACTATAAAAGATTCTTTTTTTTTTGTTATATTTCCATTTCTCATGTTGGTCGGACCCTGAATGGTTTAGTCCATATGTTGGTGGAAATATGTATTCGGGTTCTGTAATGCCAATTTATTTATTTGACACTTGTTGCGCCACATCAACCGGCCCGCCATTCTCACCAATGTTATTTGGATCGTAATTGCATAATGCATGATCTTCATCTTCGAGTATCATGGTGTGCAATAAGATACTAGCATGCATAATGTATCTCAACGTTTTAGGTGTGTATATGACAAATTTTGCACAATAAGTCAATGTGCTACTGTTACTTTAAATCAAAAAGCCGTTCAACATTTTTTCATGCTGCTTCTTAGTATGTTACAAATTTTCTCCTCTTCGCATCTTTGGGGTAGGTATGCTTTTCACTTAGACGCGTACTCAAGGTATTTGCTGTCAACAAGATAGTAGTCATGCTTGTACCATAGTGTTCTTATGCCTCTTTCTAAGGACTCATTTTCTTCATCACTTTGAATCTGCAAAATGATCAAGCCTCTATCGTGTGGAATTAGCTTACCTTGAACTTGTCAAGAGAATATGAGCTCTTCAATGGCTTTGATGCCCTAAAACCGACCTATAAAACAACCAACGAGGCAAAAGCCCCAATCAATTTCAACAAGATGAAGATCCTCAACTAGGATGAACACCTCAACGTCCACCTTTTTCAAGGCAATCCCCTCATCAGTTTAACTTTTACGGTTGAGGACGCGTAAAAAATCATGATCAAATTGGTGTCAATTGCGAGTGAATAAAAATAGTATTAGGTTATGGTCAACTAGGTTATAATTAGTATTCCACATTTTTAGCTTTTGGATTCTTGTTCTTTCTTTTTACCTTATTTATTTATTTACGGAGGATATATTTATATTTTCTTGAAAATCTAATTGACCAATTAATTGCTTTAACAGTTAATGTAAAAATGTTTTTCAATAAACTTGAAATATTTTGGTTCATCGAAATAACAACAAAAACATGTGATTTGATATAGACTTGGGAGAAATGAAGCTTGTGATCATAATATATTTGGTTGTTGGCAGTAGTTGATAAAGTTCCATTTATCGAATAAAGACTCGACCAACAAGAACAGATTGTTTAAGATCTCATAAAAATACTTGGAATTCCTACTGTTGGCGACAACCATAGAGTCCCTTGACCCCGAGGAGTCGACCTAGTTTGAGATCTCATAAAAGCACGATCAAGAATAGCCTTCATTTCAAATAGTAGCCTATCCTAAGCCTAACGCCTAGATTAAACCCTCTTAGACAGCGTTAATGTTCGCCTGATTTGATCTGATTTTCTTAAAGATATTATTAGATCTGATTTAATCTGATCTTATTGTAGTTATATTTAAAGTTGCTTCTGATCAAACATTATCTGATTTGATTTTAATAACAATAAGTAATAAGCTATAAAAATAACTTGAACGGAATGCAGCGTTAGTCCTTATTGACCTCCAAGACCAACCCAAATGACCAACAGAGCCAAGGCAAATAAATTAAACATGGCCTAACAATTTGTTTATATAACAACACGTTTATATTCTTTTTAAATGACCAACAAAGTTATAAACAACACATTTATATTCTTTTTATGGTCTATAACTTGACCCAAACCCCAGTGTCAATATATGACAGTCCAAGCAAGACCAACAGACATAAGTGTTCAACATAATTACTAGCCGTGCAAAAAAATTTTGTAAAAAACGTAAGATAATTTAGTTAAATAAGAACATAAACGGTTTCTTTTTTTAGAAATCCTTTTTTGAATTGGAAGTAGACGTTAAGCAATTTGCTCAAACTTTGCATAAAAAATAATCCATTTTTCATAGTTTTCAATATGATATGTTGATTTTTGCAACATTTGTTTCAAATTAAAAGTCCTCGCTCGTATCTTTTTAAGAACATCTCAAAAAATAGTTTTTTTTCCTAGTTTTGAAAAAAAAATTGTATCTCATGTCCTTCATGTCATTGTTATATCCTTCGCATTTTAGATAGCAAGGAGTGTTTCCTACTTTCAATCACTTCTTGAAAGAATGCCATTTTATAGAATTACATGCTCAATCTCCTTCTGCTAAAATATGGCTAATAATCTTTCCAAACGAAAAGTGCCTGCTCTTTTATAAGAGATTCTTGCTCTGTAATCTCCTTCTGCTCCACTGATTTCTGAGAGACCACGAAAACAAACCCAAAAAAAATGCATTAGCAAGAAATTATAACACAGCATTGTTTAAAACTTTTATATGCAAATTAAAGCACCATGAAAGAAACATAACTATCAAAGAAAAGAGAGATTAAAACTATGTTATTTGATAAGTTAAATGTTATTTCCATTTTTTTTGCTATTGGCACGATTACAATGAGTGTCTATTCATACTCTCCCAATCTTGTTAAAATTCCGGAGAGCCGAGAACAACGGGTAGAGTATATATGGGATGAAATTAACCATTTACATATAAAGTCGGGATCCACTGTTCTAACCCAAAAGCTTAAGCTGATAGGTTGAGTTTCACTTTTTTATATATGCTAGTGATATTCTTCTTTATTTTTCAATGGGGGAACTCCATCACTCCCCCTCAAGTGGTAACTAGCTTGGTTTAGTTATCACTTGGACAAACGGGTCTAACATTTGAATCTCTTTTAGCTATGCTAGCCCACACAACGCACGGTGGCTTATCATTCTCTTATAGCCAACTCAATCCAAACCACGGACGGGTAGCTTATTTTGCTAAACCAACATCCAAACAACCAGGAACCATCAAACTCGAATCGGACCTGCTCCGATACCATGTTGAGTTTTGCGAATTGAACTGGTTGAGGATTTTATTGATACGGGAGAATATATATACAAGAATACAAAGTACGAGCCCAACAAGACTGGCCCAATATCAATATAAACAATACAAATAATATGGAATATATACAATATATGCTAACAAATCTAATAACACAATGAGCCAATGCCTCCATCTCTGTAGCCAATGCCTCTGCCTTTGCTGAGACTCGAATCTGAACAAGCTTCTCAATGAAGCTTGGAGAGTGGGCTTATTGATTTCAAAGGTCCATATTTGTTCATAAATGCGGGTAGATTCAGATGTAATTGAACTCTTGTCTAAAGGGCTGTTTGTTTCAGCCTCTTAATGGTTCAGATGTCTGAATGGTTCAGCACTTAATGGTTCAGACTGTTTGTTTCAGCCTCTTAATGGTTCAGATGTCTGAATGGTTAAGAGATTTGCCTCTGAATGGTTAAGTATTATACAGAGTCTGAATGATTAAGACCTCTTATCTGAATTGATCAGACATTTGCCTCTGAATAGTTAAGCAATATACTAGCTCTTAATGGTTCAGACCTCTTACTGGTTCAGCACTTACCCATTCAGAAGTTGCCAAACAGCCCCTAAGTCTCTATCTAGTTTCTTCAGTTAGCCCTACATTAATATTTAAAACNCTGTTTGTTTCAGCCTCTTAATGGTTCAGATGTCTGAATGGTTAAGAGATTTGCCTCTGAATGGTTAAGTATTATACAGAGTCTGAATGATTAAGACCTCTTATCTGAATTGATCAGACATTTGCCTCTGAATAGTTAAGCAATATACTAGCTCTTAATGGTTCAGACCTCTTACTGGTTCAGCACTTACCCATTCAGAAGTTGCCAAACAGCCCCTAAGTCTCTATCTAGTTTCTTCAGTTAGCCCTACATTAATATTTAAAACTTAGAAGTTGATCTGCTAAGCAGTATAATATACGGAGTAATTATTAGAAATAATCATTCCTTTAAATCCATGATGATGTTAGAGTGTGGTTTTGATTGATTTTACTTGTAGCATCTTATGTTTTCTGTGTGATTTCTTCCTCTTAAACAATGATCTCTTTTGCCTCTTAAAATTGAACTTTATTATAGTTTAAATACCATTTTGCTGTATATTATTTGATCTGCAACAATTCAACTATTTAAATTTTAGAATGTGCCCTCTTCTAACCATTTATCATCTATTGGCCTCAGAAGTTTGCCATGATCTGCAACAATTCAACTATTTAGAATATACATTTTTCACTATTAACCTACTTATCACATCTACGATTTTAACCCTTCAAATCTCAAAACATTTTTGGAAAGTCAACACCAAAATACACTCTCTTTAAATCCTTTAAAAGTCAAAATCAGAAAGGTTTTATGGGACGAAGGGAATAGAACTTTTAACAAAGCTTTTAAATACTCAATCCATCTGTGAAAACATTTCTCCTTTCTTTTTTCATCCGTCTCAAAAAATTTTCTCATATCTATTAAAAAGTCAATTTTCTCTTATTAATTGTTAACCTACTTATCACATCACGTCTATTCACTATTAATCTCATTAATCTACCCGTCAAATCCTACTTTTACTCATCAAAACAAAGAACATTTTTAAAAATTCAACATCAAAAACACTCCCCTTAAATCCCTTAAAAATCAAAACCTCTTATGTTTGTAGGGACAGAGAAAGCATATAATTTTTATTATTTATTTCTATATCAATTTTTAAATAATATGAATTGAAAAAATTTAAAACTACACTGCAATTTGCATAATATACATTCTTTTTTGGATTTAGACTTGAGAGGGTATATTGTTTTAAATTTTGTAGAATGAAAGACGGGAAATTAGGGATGCATTGAGTTGTTTTCACCTAGGGGTGGGCACGAGTCAGGTTCGGATCCGACCCGCATTAGATTGAGCAACCCGGTAGGGTTTCAAGTTATTCGAAATTGCATCTGTGATCCGATCCGTTTAGGATCGAGTTGGGCATAGGGTTGGGTCGTCCGGGTCAGAAGTTTGACGCTTCGGGTATTTTCAACAAACAGAAAAATAAAAAAAGAAAATAAGAAATTAAGGTTTATGGCCTTGTGGGATTTGGCGTTTATTGCTTTTGTTTTCTCCAATTGATTTCAATCAACGCATTAATCCATTACATTTTTTTCAGATCGAACTTTACGGGTTTCGGGTGATCCGAATGTTTTGCCCACTTCTTACACCAAAATTTGTACTCCAAACTTACACCAAAGGTATACATCAATATTTTGATGATTCACACTGACACAAAGTGTTGATGCGTTAACAAAAATTTACACTGACACAAAATGTTTGTGTGTTAACAAAAATTAGCATTACACCAACACAAAATATTAATCCACACCTACAATGTTCACAAAATTTAAAGGATGCCTAAAGAAAAGGTGACAGCTGTAAGTATTGAATTGCAACCAACAACTTGGCATGCAAGGAACGTATGTGCGCAGTGAAAAGTAAAAACGTGAAAGACACCTTAACTTCATTCACTCCAAGATCGAGATTAATTTAATTCTCCTCAAAATACACTCGTAAATCATAAAATCCAAAATAGTAAAATTAAAATTTAAAAAAATAAACACACACACACAAACAATGACACTCTCTCCTTAAATAGATGTTTTTTCGTGTTATAAGATGATCAAAATTATTTTTAATTATTTTTAATTTATAAATCAGTTGATAACATATTTTTCTGTTTTTATAAGTTACTTCATAATTTATGACCTCCTTATTTTAAGTAAGGGGATTATAAAAACAATATTGTAAATAAGTTTTACTTACTTATTTTAAGTTAATTTTTTGTTCCGTCTTTTTAACGAGTTTATTTAAAAAATTATCTCTCTGATAGAATGTAGGATGGGATATGGACAACTGAATTCGGCAATAAGACACTTGGGTTGAATCACATTTAAAAGATTGAATCCAATCGATTAGTTAGTTCAACTCAAGAGCTTATATACCGGTTTATTTTCTCTTTAAGTTCCGATGTGGGATACTCTTTAACACTCCCCCTCAAGTGGACAACCGGGCCATTTTGAATCTAACCGGTTGACCACTTGCAAATGAACTCCCAATCCCTTGACTTTTTTTTTGAGCGCCAACACCTAAAAGACCACGAGCCGCTGGGTATGGACTTCCAGACGAGCAATCGTGTTAAACAGGCCACAGGCCGTTGGGTACACACTTCATACGGACAACTGGGCTAAAGACAAACGGACCGCTAGGAATGAACGTCTAGACGGACACCTTGACAAACGAGATGGGCCAAAACCTGCTCTGATACCATGATAGAATGTAGGATGGGGTATGGACAACTGAATTCGGCAATAAGACACTTGGGTTGAACCACATTTAAAAGATTGAATCCAATCGATTAGTTAGTTCAACTCAAGAGCTTATATACCGGTTTATTTTCTCTTTAAGTTCCGATGTGGGATACTTTTTAACACTCTCACTATTTATGAGTATTTTCAAGTAACTTACCATGAAAGAATATTTAACTTATAAGTTAACAACAAAAAAACACACAAGCAAACATCTTTAATTTTTCTGCTCAAGGTGGTGGAATTAAATGCTGCCACAAGCAGCTCTGAAAATCGCCGGAAAACACCGCCTCGAACCCGTCAATGCCGTCATCCACGCCGTGTGGCAAAGGTTGGCAGTAATCCCACCAGAACGAGTCGATGAACGCGTACTCGATCCGAGTTATCGACTCGGTGCAATCTGGCTGCAGCTCCGGCAGCTCTACTATCTCCCCCAGCTCAGCCGGACACGGTGACGCGGCAGCGTCCGCCGTCTCCGCGGAAGTCACGACGGACCCCAGCGAGGAAGACGACGCCGGAGATGGCGTGGAGGAAACCGGCTTGTTCGGCGGCGGGTCGAGGTGACTCATCTGAGCGGCTTTGAGGGCGGCGGCCTGGACGTCGTGCGGGAGACACGTGGGAGGGCGGGGCAAAACTCCGGCGAGGTCGGGGAAGTTGAGGAGCGCAGAACGGCCCTTGATGGACATGGCGGCGACGTCGTGGGCCCGGGCAGCCATCTCCGGCGTGGCGAACGTGCCGAGCCAGATCCGAGATTTCTTCCTGGGCTCCCGGATTTCGGATACCCATTTTCCCCAAGCCCGCATCCTCACTCCCACGTACGACGGATGCTTCAGATCACTCCTCCCGCCGCCGCCGCCGTTGTCTCTGGGCCGCTTGTGGGTGGGCGACCAAGAGGACGAGGAGTTGCAAGTAGACTCTTCGGTTTCAGACAACGGTGGCTCCGCCGCCATTACTTAACACTTATTAGTCGTAGTAATTATTGATAAATAATTGTTTATATTGATGAGAAAAAAGAAGGGGAATATATAAGAAAGTGAGGTGATAGTTGAGTGTCACCTATACGTTGGGATAGCTCTTTATATACCTAGTATTTGGATGACAAATAAAAAGAGAGAATGGGATGAAAGAGAAATCCGTTAATGCTAACGCTAGAACTCTGATAGTTTTGATTCATCTTGAAAATGCTAACGCTAAAAATTATTGTAAGATAATTTTTTCAAAACGCTAATTTCTAATGCTGATGTCAAACGTAATCTCTATCAATCTTCCGGTTTCACGGTTTTCAACGTAATTGTTAAATATATTTACCATATATATTTATGTTAAGTATATTTAATGTATTTATTATTGTATCATTGTATTATTGGTAGTTACCTTTTGTATAGGTTTCCTACTCGTATTAGGAGTCCCGTCCTGTCTATATATACGGTTGTACTCCTACACGTTTAATCATCGAAAATATTCATTCTTCATGGTATCAGAGCCAAAAATCCTGATTTCCAAACCCTAATTCTCTCCCGGCTCTCTCCCTCGGCGCTGCTCTCTCCCTCTCTTGGCCTTACTGCCGCAGCAGCCCCACTCTCCTCCTCCGTCGTCTCTCTCTCTCTCTCTCTCCTCATGGACTCCGACAAGACGACGGACAAATCGCCCTCCACCACCTCCTCAAATTCTCCCCACTTGGCGTTCACGGCTATATCTAACGTCAAGCTTCACGTTCCCATACAGTTGAGTTTTTCTCAACCTAATTACAAAAAATGGAGCCGTCTTTTCTTGCTCCTTGTTCGACGGTTTAATCTCCACGGGTTTCTCTCCGGCTCTAAGATCCCTTCTTCCGCCGACGACGACGAATGG